AGCTGCCACAGGGCTTGGGGACATGGGGACAGGGACCTTGGAGCTCCGGAGAGCTTGGGGATATCAGGACAGGGACCCTGGAGATTCGGGAAGCCTGGGGACATGGGGACAGGGACCCTGGAGCTCTGGGGAGCTTGGGGACATCGGGACAGGGACCCTGGAGCTCCGGAGAGCTGTCACAGGGCTTGGGGACAGGGGGACAGGGACCCTGGATTTTCGGGGAGCTGTCACAGGGCTTGGGGACAGCAGGACGGGGACCCTGGAGCTCCAGGGAGCTTGGGGACATGGGGACAGGGACCCTGGAGCTTCGGGAAGCCTGGGGACAGCGGGACAGGGACCCGGGAGCTTGGGGACAGCGGGACAGGGACCCTGGAGCTCTGGAGAGCTTGGGGATATCGGGACAGGGACCCTGGAGCTCCGCAGGGCTTGGGGACAGCGGGACAGGGACCCTGGAGCTCCGGAGAGCTTGGGGATATCAAGACAGGGACCTTGGAGCTCCGGGGAGCTTGGGGACAGCGGGACAGGGACGTTGGAGCTCCAGGGAGCTTGGGGGCAGTGGGACAGGGACCCTGGAGCTCCGGGGAGCTTGGGGACATGGGGACAGGGAACCTGGAGCTCTGGGGAACTTGGGGATATCAGGACAGGAACCTTGGAGCTCCAGGGAGCTTGGGGACAGCGGGACAGGGACCCTGGAGCTCCGGAGAGCTTGGGGACATGGGGACAGGGACCCTGGAGCTCCGAGAAGCTTGGGGACATCAGGACAGGGACCCTGGAGCTCCGGAGAGCTTGGGGACAGCGGGACAGGGACCCTGGAGCTCCGGAGAGCTTGGGGATATCAGGACAGGGACCCTGGAGCTCCAGGGAGCTTGGGGACATGGGGACAGGGACCTTGGAGCTCCAGGGAGCTTGGGGACATCGGGACGGAGACCCTGGAGCTCCAGGGAGGGATTCGAGGATGTTTTTCCCTTTTCCATCTCCCTCCCGCAGCTGGAGCGGGGCTCCTGCTTTGTGTGGCTGCCACCAAAGCCAGGCTGTCCCCAGGCAGTGGCAGAGCCCGGCTGGGGACAGCCCCAGGGATTAACGCCGCGATTCCAGCTCAGCCAGGGCTCTTCATCCCCTCCCTTCCCTTTTCTCCGCTTTCCAGGAGCCAAATTCCCCATTAAGTGGACGGCGCCCGAGGCCATCAACTACGGCACGTTCACCATCAAGTCGGACGTGTGGTCCTTCGGCATCCTGCTCACCGAGATCGTCACCTACGGCCGCATCCCCTACCCAGGTCGGGCTCCTGGGGCGGCTGCGGGGCTGGCACGCCCTCGCTGTGTGTCTGTGTGTCTGTGGGTGTGTCTGTGTGTCTGTCTGTCTGTGTGCCTGTGTGTGTCTGTGTGTGTCTGTNATCTTAGAGTGGTCCCTGCCACCCAAATTGGGTCATGGGCATTGTCCTGGCAAGGGTGACCAATCTTAGAGTGGTCCCTGCCACCCAAATTGGGTTCTGGGCATTGTCCTGGGAAGGGTGACAGAGTCTGGGGTGGTCCTTGTGGCACAAAGTGGGTCATGGGCATTGTCCTGGCAATGGTGACCGATCTTAGGGGGGTCCTTGTGGCACAAAATGGGTCCTGGGCATTGTCCTGGCAGGGGTGACCAATCTTAGAGTGGTCCCTGTGGCCCAAATTGGGTCATGGGCATTGTCCTGGCAAGGGTGACAGAGTCTGGGGTGGCCCTTGTGGCACAAAGTGGGTCATGGGCATTGTCCTGGGAAGGGTGACCAATCTTAGGGGGGACTTTGTGGCCCAAATTGGTACCTGGGCATTGTCCTGGCAGGAATAACCAACCCTGGGGTGGTCTCTAAAACCTGGGGTGACCCAAACTGGGTCCTGGGCATTGTCCTGGCAAGGGTGACAGAGCCTGGGGTGGTTCTTGTGGCACAAAATGGGCCATGGGCATTGTCCTGGCAATGGTGACCGATCTTAGAGTGGTCCCTGCCACCCAAATTGGGTTCTGGGCATTGTCCTGGGAAGGGTGACAGAGTCTGGGGTGGCCCTTGTGGCACTAAGTGGGTCATGGGCATTGTCCTGGCAATGGTGACCAATCTTAGAGTGGTCCCTGTGGCCCAAATCAGGTCATGGGCATTGTCCTGGCAATGGTGACAGAGCCTGGGGTGCTCCCTGTGGCACAAAGTGGGTCATGGGCATTGTCCTGGCAGGGGTGACCAATCTTAGAGTGGTCCCTGTGGCCCAAATCGGGTCATGGGCATTGTCCTGGCAATGGTGACAGAGCCTGGGGTGGTCCTTGTGGCACAAAGTGGGTCATGGGCATTGTCTTGGAAGGAATGACCAAGCCTTGGATGGTCCCTGCCACCCAAATTGGGTCCTGGGCATTGTCCTGGCAGGGGTGACCAATCTTAGGGGGGTCCTTATGGCCCATATTGGGTCCTGGGCATTGTCCTGGCAGGAATAACCAACCCTGGGGTGGTCCCTAAAACCTGGGGTGACCCAACTTGAGTCCTGGGCATTGTCCTGGCAGGGGTAACCAGGCCTGGGATGGTCCCTGAAATTGGAAGGTGGCCCCATTTGAGTCCTGGGCATTGTCCTGGCAGGGGTGACAGAGCCTGGGGTGGTCCCCAAAACCTGGGGTGACCCAAACTGGGTCCTGGGCATTGTCCTGGCAAGGGTGACCAATCTTAGGCGAGTCCCTGTGGCCCAGATTGGGTCTTGGGCATTGTCCTGGCAGGAATGACCAAGCCTGGGGTGGTCTCTGTCACCCAAACTGGGTCCTGGGCATTGGCCACATTCCCAGAGCTTTTTTGGGGGGACAGTGTCCTTGTGACCCCCCAGGAGCTGAGAACTGCTGCTTTCATCTCAGGCAGCCTCGTGGATTTCCTCAAGACCTCGGAAGGAGTCAAGCTCAGCATCTACAAACTCCTGGACATGGCAGCTCAGGTGAGGGGGGAGCAGAGAGCTGGGGATGGAGCTGGGGCTGGAGCCGCTAATTAACGACAGCAATTAATTAATAATCCCAAACCCCAGATCGCTGAAGGCATGGCTTTCATCGAGGCCAAGAATTACATCCACAGGGACCTGAG